GAGTCTCCTATCTGCTATGGTCTCAATGTTTGAATTAAACATTCAAAACAATGAAATAAACAATAACATGTTCTCAAATACAAGTCTGAACATTATATTATGATTTTTAGATTTAGAAAGAGTACTTAAAAAAAACAAAACAAGTTTAGAGCTAGGTGTTTTCTACCTGCTTATTTTGTGAGTAGGTTGTTTCCTGAAAGGGTTTACACTTCAGTAGAGAAAGAAAATGAGAATCTAGGCCATTGCTGTCTAAAAAGGAAGTCAGCAACTAGCAACATGTGGCTATTGAGCACTTGAATATGGCTAGACTAAATTGAGAAGTGTTAAGTGCAAAGTACCCACTGGATTTTTAAGGTTTAGTATAAAGAATGGGAAGTATCTCAGTAATAATTTTTTATATTGGATGTATGTTGAAATGATAAGTTATTAAAATTCATGTCACTTTTTTACTTAAAAAAACTAAAACACAACCTAGTTTTAACTGTCTTTTGCAACTTATTATTAGAAAATTTTAAATTATATCTGAGGCTCACATTGTATTTTTATTGAACTGTGCTGATCTAAGTCAATGCAAGGCAAAGTGATGCTCAGAGTAGATAGTTCACACAATGGTTAGGAAAGGGAGGCTGGGAGCTTGAGATCTGTATTTAAATCTTGACTTCTGCACTGACTGCATGAGCAAAGGCAAGTTACACCACCTTCCCGAGTCAGTTTCCTCATCTATTAAATAACACAGATTTGTATTAAAAACAGTCTGGTATACTACAGACTAAAAACAGTATGGCCTACTACAAAAACATTTCTTTAATATGAATCAACTTATGTTCAATTGGTAAATAGGGGAAACATATTGTACATGCATTCTCTCCTAGAATATTAGTGATCTGAAGTGATCAGAGGTGGACACTCTACAATTAAAAAAAAAAAAGGCTTTAGTGAAACATAAAATCCTTAAGGAAAAAAAAATCCCCAATAGTTCCTTCCTTTGGTTTAAAAAGCAGACTCTTAGTGGCTTCAAGTATGGCTACATTTTCCTCTACATCAAACCATCTGGGAAGATGCTAGTGATGTAGATTAAAAAGTCAGAGATTTCCAAGTCTTTTAAAAAAATAACTGATTGATAAATAAGGCTATTTCTGGATTGAAATGTCATTTTGATGAAACTGGTCTAAACTACATTTAGTTGTACTAGTGTGCTTATTAGTGTTATGATTTTTGTTAGGGTTCTTATAAAGCTTTGTAAATTTTGAGTGGTGTGTATTCTTTCTCCATAAACCCTGTTACTTTAGTGTATTATCTTGTAGAATATTAGGAGTTCCAGGAATGTATGTAATGCATTATAGCAACATCTCTGTACTACAGACTGTGACTTCAAACTGCCCTTTATTTGTGATATTAACTTTTCATTAACTGAGAGAATACTTTGAGCTAATACAATGCTTGACTGCTAGACAGTTTAGCTAATAAAATTTGTGAATATTTTATTGAATTTTGTTTTTATTTTATTAAAAAGTTACAATTCTAACACTAGCAATAAAGAATATCATATTTAATACAAATGAGAGAACAACAGATAGGCATTACCGTTTGGCCTTTAACTGACCTTCACTAGACTGAAGTTATCTTGACAGTGTATATGGTTGAAAAACACATATACAATGCTAGAAATATTCATTAATGCCTTTCTAAAAGGTAAAATGTAATTTAGAACCTCATAATTATTTTTTAGCTCTGTGGATACGGAATCCCACATCTAACTTTTTGTACATGTTTTAAGTAGTTCATGATTTATGAAAGTATGAGCTACTAATCTTGCAAGATTTTTGTGACACTTAAGCAAAACAATGTACATAAAGGATTTAGCAACATTTGGCAAATGGAAAATTCATAAAAGTGGCAACTATTATTGTTATTATATAAGTCATGGCGTATAGAAAAACTGCAGAATTCTTTTTCCCACTCCAATGTGGGCTCACATATCGATCAAACATACAGTTAAATATAACACTTTATCTAAAAACAAATTTTGTGATTGAAAAATTGAGAATTATTGCAATAAGAGATTGATGTCTAAAAGTCTTTTAAAAATACAATGTAGTAGGCAATTTTGCCAAGGCTACTTACAGGTCAAAAAGTACAAATGAATGATTAAATTGCAAAAGCTTTTCAAAATATTCAAATATTTTGAAGCCATCAGAATAAAAAATAGATAATTGCTTATTTTTACAATTTGAAGACAGAGTTAGCACTTGCTTAGTAATAAAAACAAGTATTGATGAAAGCATTTTTCTCTCCTCCCAAAAAACTAAAAATAAAATCCTGAACTGAGTATAATAAAGTTATCTTATACTGTGAGAATTGCCTTTTTATGAACTAGTACTGATTCTTTTTCTTTTTCTTTTGAGTCAGTCTCACTCTGTTTCTCAAGCTGGAGTGCAATGACATGATCATGGCTCACAGCAGCCTTGACCTCCTGGGCTCAGGAAATCCTTCCACCTCAGCCTCCTCAGTAGCTGGGACTACAGGGGTATACCATGCCCACTTAATTCTTTGATTTTTTTAAAGACAATGTTCCTTGGGGGATGGAGGAGCAATGAAAGGGGGAATGGAAGAGATATGAGACGGAATGTGACTGTTCATTTTTCCAACAATTCTCTCCACTTCCCCAATGCTAATTCATATTTCTAGAGGAAAATGCCTATGTACATAAAAAAGATATTCAGTTAATATTCTGATATCCATTCAACCAAATTATTGTTCTAAGATGACTATTTCCTATACAAATCATTGGGAAAAATTAATATATGCTTTCTGGTTCTGTTTAAGCATAAGAATGAAAATTGATTTTTCCCCTTGGAGCCCTGCAAGTCTTTTGAGTATTTCTCATAAGCTTTCCTTTAAGAATGGGCTCTGAAGACTAAGTGACAGGTAAGGTGTGATCAGATCAGGATTCAGTTTTGAGAAAAAAGAAGAGATAAGGAGAGAATGAGAAAAAGAAACTACTCAGGGAAGTGCTTCTCAGAGCAACAATAGCATCACCTGTGAGAAATGCAAATTATCAGGCCCCACCCCAATCCTGCAGACTGAGAAACTGTTTTGACCCACCAAGGGATTCTGATGCACACTCAAGTTTGAGAACCACTGCTTAAGGGAGTCCTTCTGGTTCTATCACCAAAGAGGATCCTGGGGTATCTGTTAGGAAATGTTCAAGCTTTAATTGTTTAAAAAATAATGATTTAATTCAAACTTAGGGAAAGATCTTTAGATACTCAATTGTATGTTAAAAATCAAATAGAGATTTTTTGGTTTTGCTTGTACTGGTTCTTTGTTCCCTGTATAGTTCACCTACTTCTCAGATTAAAAAAATGAAATTCTAAATGGAGACAAAGTTAGAGTCTAGGTTGACAGGCATGGCAGCTTGCCTTTTTTATAAGACACAGATCTTGGGTTAGTCTTTAACTTTGTGAGACCAGAAACCAGTGTTCTCACTTCAGGCAGAAATAAGAATCAAACCACAAGAGGCCTGACTGACAACTGGAATGTCAACATTTAAATTTACTTTGAGAAATGTAACTGCGTAGAAGACTAGAAGATTCAGATCTAACGTTCTTAAACAAATTACTATCAGCAGGTTGAAGAAACACTGCTTCGGAGTAGAGTTGGGTGCTCCCGTGTGCTAGTGACACTAGCTCCAAAGGTCCACATCAACTGCAGGCTTTTAGTCTTCAAATTCTTACATGGATGGTTCCTGTCCCTTCTGCACTTAGCCCCCTATCCTTCCATTTGGAAAAGGCTTCAGTTAGCTATAAAATAACTAAAGAGGTTACACTGTTTTTCAGACTTGGGAGGCATTCTGGGTCCTTATTCACCCATTCATCAAAACTTATGTATCAGGTCCTGTGAAAAGCACTGGGAATAGAAGAGCATTAAGGCAGTTTCAGCCCTCAGAATATGTATAGTCTACAAGAGAGGGAGGGAGGAGTGGAAAATTAGACACACAAGCACATCATTAGAAAACAATGTAGTAAATGCAATGAAACAGACATGCACAGAAACTCCCAGGTGCTACACCTGGAACTGGGGAGAAGATACTCTAGACAGTCTTGTCCAAGGAGATGGTGTCATTCTAGGATGGAGGGGGCGGGTAGAAGACCGGGAAGGAAGCAATTTACAAACCATTGTAAATGACTACTTTAATCCACTTAATAGTGATAATAGCGACTATTTCATAATGTGAAAATTTCTAATTTTTAACCTAAATTATGTGGTGAGGCATTAAATCTTCTGTGCAGTTTCAAACCAAATTTGGTGGAAAGGTATCTAAACTGACGAAAAATTCAAATTATGGAATTGCACAAAAAACCCCTGTTTTTGTTTTGCTTAAATTACGATCGACAGACACAGAAACAGAAATCTCTGTTTCATAAGCAGAGGTCCCAGGATTGAGCTATGCCCATTTGGCACAGTTTTTATTTGAAAGTAACTTATTTTGACAAAGTTAATCTCATGCCATTCTTATTTAACTATGGCTTCTCTTCGTAACTATCTTGTAAGGTTTTTGAAAGCAGTTCAACTAAGGAGGGAAAAAAAGCAAGCAATCGTCATTGCTTTTCGGTTGAATACGTACTTCTTAGAGTAGGGAAAAAGGCAAAGAAAAAGCAAATGCAAGAAATTCTATTAGATAAATTAACCTAAATTCTATAGCTTCCTTTTCTAAATCTTTTGCTATGAGATTTAAATCATAACAATTTCCTGTAAATCAAAGATTTTGGGAAATTTTTACAGGCGGAAAAAATAAAATCTAAATCGTCTTTGCGTTCTCATTTCAAGCGAATTAAGACAACAGACGCGATACCCTTGGCACTGCCTCAGTTCAAAAGTTAGCATGCCGAGCGAAGGTGGCTCTGAGCACGCTCCTCCGACACCCCCCACCACCACCTCCGACTCCCCTCAGAGGAGCCTGAATGCATCACTGGAGCCCTTCCCCTTCCGCTCCTTACAGTTCTGGTTGGGGTCCGGAGCGAGAGCTTTGACCAGTTCCACCGCCCACCCTGTACCAGGAGAGAGGACGGTCGCTCCTCCGGCAGGGCTGTGCGGAGGCGCATGCGCCTCAGGGCGCCAGCCGGCCAACCAGCGCTTGCGGCAGGGCCTGGTGTTCCCACCTGCCCTCCCTCCACTGGGCGGCAGGCTCTGACAGGCTCCCACCCGCGGGGCTCTCCGAGACCCCACCCCTGAAATCTCAGCCGGGCACGCACAGCACCTCCCACCCCAACACCTTCCCCACCGCTGCGGCTGCGGGCCGCTCGAGGTCAGCCCTGGCAGGGGGACGGGCCGTAGACCGTGCTCTCATTGGCTGGAGCGTGCCCGGCTTCCCCGCGAGGCGCCTGCGCAGCCCGGGCGCGGGGTAAACCCTCTGCGGTTCCCGCCCCGCCGACGTCACGCCCTGGGGACCGCTCCACCTTCCCCGTGAGCTTTGAAGCCTCAGCCCCTCCGCCTTCTTACCGGCCGCCCCAGGGGCCCTCCGCTGAAAGCTTTAGGAGTCGCGAATGAAAACTCCTAGATATAGAGGACTAGGTCAGAGGGAGTTGGGAAAATGAGTGGCCAGCAGGTCTCGGCCGAGGGTCGAAAGGAGAGCGGGGAACTGAAAAGGGCGACTGAGCATGCGCTAGATTAGCGTTGGGGGGGGGGGGGGAGAAAAGAAGCCGCTGCGGAAGGTTGCGCGCATGTGCAGGGCTGTGCCCCGCCTCCCGGGCGCCCCACGAGGGGGCTAGTCCGCCCAGAGTTAAACGAGTTGACACTCTAGGCCGACTATTGAGAGCCCCAGATTTTAAATGACACATTGACGCATCTCCTTTGGTTTTCCTTATATACATACAGCTAACTTTTAGACACTTAGTTCATTCAGCTTTTTTTTTTTAACGTTGACCCCTTCAACACTTTTTTTTTTTTGAGTTGGAGTCTCACCCGTCACCCAGGCTGGAGTGCAGTGGCACATTCACGGCCACTGCAGCCTCGACCTGCTGGGCTCAGGTGATCCTTTCACCTCTAACTTCTATTTTTAAACGTCAAGTACTCTCCATCCAGCATGGGCTTTTTACTATTAGCTTTATTGCGCTCCTGTAACCTTGATTCCCTCCGCTCCAAACTGCCACAGATGAAATCGGACAAATACAATTAACTGCCGTTTTGCCTTCACTATCTTTTGGCTCTCTTGACAGTCAAAAAATGCCTCTATTCGTTCCAGCGATTGGGCTCGCGACTTATTAGAAACAAGTCGGGTCACTTGTGATCCATTCTATCCAATTCCATTTTTCCTAAAAGCATAATTTATCATCCTTTCTCTCTCGCATCTTTATCCTAACACATCTTTTGTCACCAGCATTTAAACGGTAGCACATTTCTCTAATCATTTCTTAGGGTTTCAGCTACCATTTGCAGAAATGACTACTTTATAATTCCCCAAAGTATTCTCCACTTGTCTTCAGAGGTGCCTCAAAGTGATCTCCAAATCTAATTCATTTCCTAGGTATCCCGTTAAAGTAATGGCAGTTATAGCCACCCAGTTCGTTCATGCTAGAATTGGGCATCTTTCTTGACGTCTCCTTTTGCCTCACATCCCATGTCCCATTTGTGGTAGTTATTCCACATTTCAACCCTAGTAATAAGGCATTTTTCTGACTTCTAGGATTTAACTTTCCTAGTCTTGTGAGATTACCTGCTGCCATTTACTATATTTTGGGATCTCCCTTAACAAATACTTTTGATCCTGTCACGACTTGTTTTATTACCTTATTCAGACATTTTTCTCTAAATAATTTAAAATTATGGTTTAAAGTATCAAAGATGATTACCACCTTAGAGAATGTGTTACAGATTCTGAAGATGACTTCAGAAGAGGAGTTTTAACTCCCTAAGGTGGTTTGGAAGGAACAATCCTTGTTTAGATATTTACATTCTGGGACAGTTGTTTAAAATATTGTTTTATGCATATCTGATGTAACACACATATTCTGAAAAATCATGTAGTACTCTAAGATACACCAAAGGAAATGGCATCATTTCCTAAGAGTAATGTAAAATTTTTTGGTATAATTCAGAAGGTACTCTGGAATTTTAGCGTTTGAATTATTTTTCAATATTATTTATTTTCAATTACAGATGCAAAATAGCTTTGGAGACTTGATTGAGTACACACTAAATCTATTTACTACCCCTAAAGGTTTTCCTGAAAACTCTAGTTACCTGCTTGCATATTTTCCCTTTTATGTCTCCCTCTTATTAAATGCTGCACAGTATTCAGCTTGTGGTTTTTCATTGTTTGGATTTCAGAATAGAAATTTACCATACTTGGGTTCTTCTAAATTAAAGTCAAAAAGTAATTTGAAATGTCAGTTTGTAATGTGGATAAAACCATTGCAAATTATGTATATCAATAAAAAAGTTAGTGTTTGAAAACTACTGACTTACTGAAATCCAATAAAGTACAAAAGTTGAATATGGTGAAAAATTTTTTTATTGCCTTTTATTTTCAACAATGATTACTTTAACTTAAAAAAAAAGCCTTTATTAACTAATGGTTACTGAAAAGCCAAACCTTTCCAGCCCACTTCATATTCTCGTTCAACCATTTCAGAGCAGAACAATGTTCCAAACTATAAACCTGTTCCTTATTAACATTGATGGTCATGTGCTTAATGAAAAGCTTTGGATCTGATATACGAGCAGCCATAATTAATCTTTCTACTGCAGCTTGATAATCGTCCTTGCTCCGAGATTTGTTTTCTTCACACCTATAAAGTGAACACGTCACAAAGTCAGAAACTCTAAAAAGGAGCTCTATGATTTCTTCAAAAGATAGTTATTTGCACTTATTGGTACTAAGCTATAATAGTCTTTTTACCATATTCTTTTAAATGTGGCTTTTGGCCGGGCTCGGTGGCTCAGCCTGTAATCCCAGTGCTTTGGGAGGCCTAGGTGAGTGGATTGCCTGAGTCCGCGGGTTTGAGACCCGCCTGGGCAACTTTACATTACCCTTAGGAAATGATGCCATTTCCTTTGGTGTATCTTAGAATACTACATGATTTTTCAGAGGGCCCAGAAGCAAGTTCTGCAAGTTCTGCAAATTCAAACTTTTTTTGAGCATGATCCACAGTAAGAAAAACATTTTATATTATGATCTGGAATACATCTTCACATTTTAAAAAATTGAAGTAAAGTTTCAATTTTTAAAAATGAATGTTGGCTGCAATACCACCACAAATTGATTTCACCACACAAATAGGCTGCAACTCACAGTTTGAGAAACAATGGCCTAGAACACAGCTAATTACCTATATCTTTGTATTTTCAAAGCTGCATATGTGCATAATAATAATGCATATGCATATTTATTATAATAATATGCATAATAATGCATAAAAGAATATTGAATGTAATCAAGCTTAGGATTAACATTCACATGTTAGTTTTACCTTGGCTATTTTTAGTTACAAGCAAATATTTAACATGTAGCTAATTTTTGGTAACAAATTGTACAGCCATATGCCATAATTAAGTTTCTGGTTATTTTCTTCAGTCTTGATTTAAGGTACTTCACTAAGTGCTAGAATTTACTTTTCTAATAACTCTTCTATCAGCTCCATCTGCCATCGATTGTGACTGCATTTACTAGCATAAAATTCACATCTTATGCCAGTTTTTCTCTGAAGTAGGGAGTGAGAAGTACTTAGAATAAAAATGTGGCTATAATACCAGGCATAACTTTTTCTTTGTGTTCACTGCTTCCTGCTCTTAGTACCTATAGGGCCCAGAAGCAAGTTCTGCAAATTCTGAGTATGAGCTATATGCATGGTTCACAGAGTGATGGAAGTGAGGACTTGCACTTGAAATAGGAACCTGTATCACAGAGAGGAAATACTGCTCAGGCACCTTCTAGTACATTCTAGCTTAGAAAGGGTGCCCGGAATCTGGTTGACTGGGTAGATGCCTACTATGTGCAGATTTAAAAAGTCTACATATGAATAAAATTCTCTCACAGAGGCTAATATAACAACGCAGGGCTCAATATGATGATAACAGAGGAAACACTGACCTGGACAAAATCAAAGATCTAGGTATGTCACTAGTTATGCACTATGGTTACAAATACTCTCAAAATTAAACAACGAATAATAAGATTGCCTATGTGTGGGGAAGGGAAAGCTATGAGTACACCAAACACTTGTTAAGATGATGGGAAGCCCAGATGCCTCATCAACTGTTGTGCACACTGGTAAATAAGGAAGCTCTCAAAAAAGAACTAAGAGAAAAAAGGCTAATTTTAATGAGGTTTTAAAATAAGGTGGAACTTAAATTATTTTCTAATTCGACTCTTCTAAAGTTTTGGCTGAACTAAAAGACTTACCTATAACAAATAGAAGAGAGCAGAAGTGAGAGCATGTGACTTTGGGATATTAGGTTGCTGATGGCATTCTCCCTGGGTCTCTTGGATTTCTGGAAGTTTTCTGTGACTATCTCTTACTCCAAATTACAAGGATGTTTTATGTTTCATATAGTGAACAACCTTGAAAGATTGTTTTTTTTCTTTTGGAGCAAAGGTCAGGTTTGCTTACAACCTTAGAAGATGCAGTTAGTATCTCCCTGGAGCACAAAGGACAGATGTACTTATTACCCATTATAAGATATTTGGGTTCCAGGCCGGGCTCGGTGGCTTAACCTGTAATCCCATGCTTTGGGAGGCCGAGGTGAGTGAATTGCCTGAGCCCACGGGTTTGAAACCCGCCTGGGCAA